CTGTATACATGAAAGTTCAAAAATGCAAACAATGCTTGTGTGAGGGTGTTTTTGTTGAGCTACTCCAGCTGTGGAGAGCTAGAATTCCATGCTCACTTCTCATCTTACCATTACTGTTCACCAGGTAGTGTGAAATGTTTGGGTCCACTTACTGCTGAGGCTCAAACCTGGAACTCTGGAATGCTGAACTGATGTAGATTTATGAAATAGTCATTCTAAGCTGCAAAGCAGCCAGACAATCTGGCTTATCTAGGCCTAGACAGCCTAATAAAAATGGTATCACACAACTATCATTCCAGGTTAGAAGAACATCCCTGAGGTATGAGCTAATCAGGGGTATTCACTGTGTCAAAAGCAGTTTAAGACTGACTGCAGGCCGACTGACTCATCAGCCGAGAGACCATGCTCCTTCTGCAGTAGGATTAGCTGGCTGAGCACCATCAGACACCTGGTCATGTTGCAGGCAGACCGGCCATGCGCCGCCGCGCCGGTTTGGGCGCCATCCAGCGTCAGCGTGATGCCCAGTCCAAGTACTCGGCGAAGCGCGCCGAGCTGGAGGAGAACCAGGTGGAGGAGCTGAGTCGGCAGCTGGAGACGTTCCGCGCGCACCTGCAGCAGTTCGCCGGTCGTCACCGCAGCGAGATACGACGCGACGCGCGCTTTCCTCCGCCGCCAGTTCCAGGAGATGTGCGCCGCCATCGGCGTCGACCCGCTCGCCTCCAACAAGGGCTTCTGGTCGCAGATGCTCGGCGTCGGCGACTTCTACTACGAGCTGGCGGTGCGCGTGGTGGAGGCGTGCCTGGCGGCGGCGCCGCGCACCGGGGGGCCTCATGCCGCTGGAGGAGCTGCGGCGCCGGCTGCAGCGCGCCGGCCAGCAGGAGGTCAGCCAGGACGATCTGTTGCGCGCCATCAGCAAGCTGCGTGTGCTCGGCACGGGGTTCCAGCTGCTGCGGCTGGCCGGGGGACCGGCACTTGGTGCAGTCGGTGCCGGGCGAGTTGAGCGGCGACGCGACGGCCGTGTTGGAGCGCGCCCAGGCGGCCGGCGGACGCGTCACGGCTGCCGAACTCGGCTGGAGCGCGGACCGCGCCCAGCGCGCCATCCAGCAGCTCGTGCGCGACGAGCTCGCCTGGGTGGACGAGCAGACTGGCGGTGACGACGAGTACTGGTTTCCCAGTCTGTTCCCAGGGCTGAGCGAGTCCGAGTGAATGTGTGGAGGGGAGGGGGGTGGCAGTTGTGGATGGCACTGCGGGACGTTGATAAGACTGATGATTGTGCGGTTTCACTTGATATTGTGGCGCAGAGAGAGAGAGAGAGAGAGAGAGAGAGAGAGAGAGAGAGAGAGAAGAGAGAGGAGAGAGAGAGAGAGAGAGAGAGAGAGAGAGAGAGAGAGAGAGAGAGAGAGAGAGAGAGAGAGAGAGAGAGAGGGAGAGGGAGAGGGAGAGAGAGGGAGAGGGAGAGGGAGCGAGGGAGAGGGAGAGGGGAGAGGGAGAGGGAGAGGGAGAGGGAGAGGGGAGATAGGGGAGAGGGAGAGGAAGGGGAGAGGGAGAGGAGGAAGAGGGGGAGAGGGAGAGGAGAGGGAGAGGGAGAGGGGAGAGGGGAGAGGAGAGAGAGGAGAGAGAGAGAGAGAGAGATATATATATATATATATATATATATATATAACCGATACCGATTACTAACCGATTACTTAACCGATTACTCTCCCTACAACTATATATATATATATATATATATATATATATATATATATATATATATATATATATATATATATATAGAATGCAGAGGTCTGCACTAGTTTGGTGAACTCAGTTGAGATGTGTATCACTTATCTATGTGTTTTGGCTTTGTACTCATTTGTGTAATACAGTGACAATGTATCGCATGTGTCATGGTTTTTAGTGTGCTTAAAAATGTTTTGCTGCGGTGCCAATGTTGGCAAAATATCTGGACGACGTCACTCTGATGGGACGTTCATCTGCCTTTGCTGATGTTGGGCTTCTGCACTCGGGTTCACCTATCACTTGATTACTCTCCCTACTATTTGATGTTCGCACGCGAACCAGAACTTCCAGCGAAGGTAAACCATGGCGATCATGTGTCAACATGCAGTTGCACGGTGGCAGATTATGTCGAAGACCTCTGCGCCAGCAGGCGGCAGGCGCACCGCCTCGCCATCTCGGCATCCGATCACAGGCATGCTCGCAGCGAAAGGGCGCACGGAAGTAAGCTGAATGAATTTTCATTCCGCTCTGGCGATCCGGTACACTTGCAAAGGGCGGCTGTGCCTGCTGGCTAATATTACGAAGTCATGCGGCCCTGGGAAGCAGCCACAACGCTGCGTTGGGTGGGTGACCTGAATTATAGGGCGTGCCTCGATGGCAATGGGAAAACTATTTTTGTGCATCACAGTCGGCTGAGATCGCGAGATGTCACTGCAGCGAATGCACCTCAAAGGTGGAATTGGGAGGGCTCCGGCGAGTCAGAGGAGTTGGCAGCGGTGCGTGTTTCAGACGTGTGGTCTCGAGGTTTCCAGTCCGAGCCAGGCTGCTGATGGCCTGGGTATGTGTGTTTCACCAACGCTGTCTGACGAAGGAGTTGTGCTGTCCGTCCCTGACTGGGGCGCCGGTGCTGATGTTTCCGCCGTCTCCGTCCCGCGTGAAGCGGGTAGCGTCAGCAGTGAACCGGTCACTGCGGATGTTCTCGCTGTATGTGGTACTGCTTGTGAGCCCGACCATGACAGTCCAGATGCCAGTCCGAGGCCAGTGTGACTTCAGCAGAGTGTTCTGGGTGATGGTGTCTGGTTGCCATTCATAGAACAGGCATCGTATGTTTCAACAAGAAATCTTTGTTGTGACACTGCATCATGTCTCCTGTCATTGGACTCGGACACTGACGTGGTGGCTGTGAAGTCGAGCGGGACCCTCCCCATTGCGCAGCGGCGTTCGTCGTATCAATTTTGAGAGTGTAGGAGGCTATCCGCAATGGGTTCCCGGGCCGGCAGTCAGTCGGTTCGGTCAGCGTTTGACCGGCGCGGTCGGCTGTGTTCATGCCTGCGGGCCATTGACCCCGTGACCTGGCCGACGTCGCATGTGCGGGCCAGAGAGGTCGCAGACTCCGGACGGGGAAGGCCTGGTGCGACCGGCGGTTGAATTGGTTCAGGAGAGCTGACCGTGAATACAAGTGACCGAAGTGAACCAGGGTGTATATATATATATATATATATATATATATATATATATATATATATATCTCTCTCTCTCTCTCTCTCTCTCTCTCTCTCCCTTATATATATATATATATATATATATATATATATATATATATATATCCAGTCTCACACTATAACGCCGACAGACAAGTGGGCAGGCATTCGAAATCCAGCCAAGATGCCAGCAACCGCGAAGGTTGAATGACAGGCGGTTGCTGCGGAAAGAAGCACAAACAACGATTACTGGCATGAGTCGTGGAAAGCATCCGTGCTACACGGATGGCGCACATCAGCAGCCTAATATACGGCTGACGATAATATCTCACAATACCCGCAAGTGAAACACCTGGCGAAGGGCCGAACGGCCGATGGTCCGGAAAACCTGATACCAGCTGTCGGTCACAGAGTCGACGCGCGTCGACTGTCAGAAACGCTGGGGGCAAACTCAGCACTTCGAAGTCGATGGAAGAAACTGGGAGGAACCACGGTGAGGCGACTGGTCGCAGGGGGAGCCAAGAGGCGATCTCAGCGGAAGAGGGAGAAAACCGGCAGGACCGTCCCGAGGCAAGAAAAGACAAGAAAGGGACAGAACGAGACAGAATCGAAGGAAGGTGGGAGCTAGCCTGGCGGGGCGCCCCCCCCCCCCCCCCCCCCGGGCGCTTAGCGCACGGCGGCGACCGGTCATCCCAGCATCCACCGTTTCACGACATCAAACGTAAGTCGGAGAGTCGAATGAAACATTAAACAGTCAACAGTCTGCTCTTCCCTGCTCGCATTCCTTTGCCAACATCCCTTATTCCCTAAGTGCGTCTGCTGTTTTCGTACGCTTCCATCAACGCCCATCATGTGAAATCACCACTTCCGCCGCCGTGGTTTTGCCGTAGCTTTAGAACCCAAATACATACCCTCCTTGCAATTTTGCGCATTTTCTGGTCATTGCACGACTTGAAACATTTGTTTATAAGTGCCTTGCCCGCCAACGTCATGCTGTAATATTTTATTTAACCGTTACCATGCTGGGTTTACTATAGTAAGCATAATTGCGGTGACTTTTTTGTTACAGCTATCTTTTAATGCAATATCATGATATTTTGTTAAAATGGTCTTTTCAGCAGCTTTGGTTTTATGTTTTCTGTTTGAAATGAATTCACGGTCTGCGCCGGGCTCGGCACAGGCTCCAGGATTTAGCCCCCTTTAATGTGTCCGATCTACTAATAAACAACAACAAACAAACAACTAATAAACAAACAAAAAAACGCGGAGTGGTGCGATGCCAAATTTTTCGTACTTTTTATATATCCATCTTGTACCCGAGGGAGTGTGTCGGTAGCGCAGTGGTTAAGCTGTGCGTTTGGGAAATCAGGTGTATAGGGTTCGGTTCCCCGCGGTGCCCGCCCTTCCTGGCAGGATGTGAAGCAGGCGACGTCATATAGTCGCAACAGCTAAGTGCGTGCTAAGGCCACAATGACGACGTGTACTGGGTGAAATTTTAAAATTCCAAGTGGGTCATTGCGCTAGCTGAGATCAGTCTGATGTCAAAGTTAAAAAATAAAGGCTTCAAAACTTGTTTAAGCATGGGCAGATTTGGAAGATATATTGCAGAAACGCTCCGTTATGAATTCATGAGTGCATGTCCTCTGACTGTTCTGATTTAATCTTTAAGCATTTTTATGACTTGTAGGCAAATGACTTCCAACAAGTATGCCAGCGGTGGCTGCCCGGGCTAGTAGGCACTAGTATTGCTCCTGAAGGATATGGCCCGTGCGTTATTGATCACTGTCAAACACGTTCCTAACAAGGCTTATATGGTTTGGTTCCAAGGCTTCTTACAATGTTCTTGTTCTTTAACAAATTGAATTTAAGTAGTTAAATAAAGGAATAGGCCTACGCCCATGGACTGAGCTATGCTAAATCAGGCCTGTGCCAATGTCCTGAACTACATCGTCGTTAAAAAGTTCCCACAACATGAGAAACATATTTCAGAATAATCTGGAGCGGAGACAAGGATGAGACTAAGGGAACAAGCTCCCCTGGGCCAAGAGGTGTATTCTAAGTACTTGGCAATTCCGCAGAAATTTGGTCCAGTCGCAGGATTTGGAAGAAAATTCGACGCTTGGCCTCCGTGAGGCAAAGATGGGCTACGTGCCTCGGCTGTAAAGATCTCGCGCTGCTGGCCAGCGATTCGCGCCAGTCCTCGTCGTGTAACACCAAATTGTACTTAATGACCACATCCATGTATCGTGGCTCAGTTTAATGTACACTCGCTCCGCCTGCCGCATGGTATGGGTGTGCGGGTCCGAGAGATTTCGCTTAGCGTTCTCCGCAGAGCAACCCCGGCACAGCGCACCAGGAAAGGAAAAACATGTTCATCGCACACATATATTATATCAACGGCCGTAATCAAAGTCGAATGGTTCTCAAACCTAACCCGCCACTGTCCATATTCAAACACAGTCACTCGCCTTGAAAATAGGCCGAACAGTGAATTAAAATCAATCGTACGTTTCATACAAATCAGATTTATACGTGCAGTCACCAACATCCACACGAAGGACCCCCGCCCCCCCCCCCCCCCCCCCCACAAAGGCCGCAGAGCTCGCCCTCCTTGGCCCGTCTACAGGGACCCACCCCGCAGTGGCCACGCTGCGAGGTGCCTCGAGTGGCCGAGATTCGAGGTTTGCATAACGTGTCCGCCGGACTGACACAAGCCCGTCCATTGCGCATGCGCACCACCCCGCTATGGCGCCTGGAACACCTGATTCAGGGATTTTTCCATCGCTGGGCGGCCGGCCTCGGCTTCCAGAGCCAGCGCGGCCGCCACATGCCATCTGGCGAGAGTTCTTCGAACTAGCTGAATATTGGTGCCGATTACAGCCGAGGCCTGCTCCATACACGAGACGGTGCCCGTCTTCCATGCAAAGCGCCCGCACCATGTCGACTGCGGAACGGCACGCGAGTGCCGTACCGCCGCGGGTGAAATTTTTTACAGGGCAACGGTACTAAAAATTTGGCGGACGTCACGTCTTTATATTTTCATGGTGCACTGGAAAATCTTCAAGGGCCGCGAGTATCCGCCATCAATCGGACACGGATTTTCAGCCCATGCTACTCATGAAAGCATACACCATTTTACGT